AGATGGTCGCTTATTGCTGTAGGCAACACTTCCTCCTCCTTTTCTTGAATGAGCGTAGGTGGTTTTGAGTCAGGTATCTCAGTTGGTTCCACCTCATGTACGACTATGCTGGTTGTGACTTGGCTAGGAAGGGATTTAGGTAACATCACCACAGTAGCCCTAGCGAGAGTTGTTATGCTCTCGGGTTTCTGTGATGGTGTAAAACCGGGTAAATCCTCTAGAACTGGCACCTGATGGTTGGATGGTTCAGGGTTGGTCTTGGGTTCTAGAGCCTCGTTTTGAGCATTAACTTCCTCCAATTGTGGATCTTGAGATTGGAAGGAGCGTTTAAGTTCAACAGCCTTACAGAGATCATTGACTAATTTATCAGCTTTAGCCTCGGCTTCTAGTCTCTCTCTTTGGAAGTCATCCAGCATTTTCTGCATCATATCTGATCCTTTGCATAATCTCCTTTCGAACTCCTTTTCCTTCCGGACTAATTCAAGAAGTTTCGCCCTTTCTCGAATTGCCACCTTGTTTGCTTCAATTTGTTCTTCGGCAAACAGGGTATAGTCACGGGAGTAGGGTGGTTCATACCAGGACCCTGTTCTAATCTTGTTATTTCTTCGATGAGCGAATCAGCTTGATCGTCGTATATAGGCCCATTGCGGTCATAGTCATCGTGATCACTTACGGCTAGGGTGGGGGCCGGGGTGTTACAAATGGTATCAGAGCAACCCTGCGACCGTGACGGGCCAAAAGAGCTTAGTTCACCTAGCGGGGAAGATCTATGGGTTCAAAAAAAAGGATGCAACGAGGACGTTGCATTCCTAAGTGGGGTAAATGTAAGACCCTGTATCAAGATGGGAAGAGCTCAAAAGAATTGATAGTACTACTCATACCAACAAGGTGCATCTTCTTTTCGAGAGCTCATTACCTAAAAAACTCCAAAGTTAAGCGTGCTTGACCTGGAGCAATTTTAGGATGGGTGACCCCTGGGAAGTTTTCCTTGGGCGCGCACGAGTGAGGACAAAGTGTGCGGGAAAGACTTGTGTTGGTTTGTGGGGACAGTCTACAATCCTATGAGCAGACCCTTACGGCTAGGGTGTGGGGGCCGGGGTGTTACAAAATCAATTATCTGCCTCTACAGCTTTGAACTCCAAAGTTCTGAAGCAGGCAATAGTCGATTATCACAATTTGCAATAATCGATTATCAGTCTGTGCAGCCAAAACCCAGAATCTTCTAAGAGGACCAATAGTCGATTATCACTTGTTGACAATCGATTATCTGGGTTACCGTTGTCCTCCAACGGATAGAATTTTAAATTTTTGGACAGGGAATCTTTGGATAATCGATTATCAAGCTTTGACAATCGACTATCACCCTGTGTCTCTGAAAAATTTGTCTTCATCCTGTTGGAAA